ACCCCCAAACACTCAAAAACCCCCCCCCCCCCTCCAGTAATACAATGGCCCCCGGCACAAAAAAAACCCCCAGCACAATAAGAAAGAGGGTGGACAGTCAGGGAGTAGTTGGGAGAGGGAGAACAGAGAGATGGGGGAAGAGAAAGAGATCACAGAAGGAGGTTGAGGGGGAAGTTGACAGAGTCACTACAGTGAGACTTCAAACTAGCCCCATACCTCAAGATGCTACAAGACCAGTGGCGTCACAAGGGGGGTGCGGGAGGTGCGGCCCGCACCTGGGTGACACCAAAATGATTGACAGTCATTTTGGTGTCACCCCCTCTAAAAAGTCGGGCACTTGGTCATGGACTGAGAGCCCAACAGTGTCAGGAGAGGGGAGGGGACCTGGCGGCATACCTTATCCAACCGGGTGAACGGCCCCTCCCATTTCTGTGGTGCGTACATCACCAAAATGGCTGCCGGCAGGCGTCAATCAGATGAGCGTGCATGCATGATGACTTAATCGCGCACGCGCATGACATCACGGCGGGGTGACACCCGGCCTCGGGGAGCCCCGGTACAAGACCCCAAAGACAGACCCGGAGCCTACAGACTGAGTGTGCACAGCCTGGAAATAGAATCAGGGTGGCACAGACAGACCTACAAGCCCCCAGAACTTAGACTATTCCAGTGGTGTTATACATGCTGTTATACAGGAAATTAAAAGAGGTGGATATCAAGTCAAATCCAAGTCCATCCACTGCTTGAAATAAATTGTAATGGAATTATGTGGGAGCTAATTTCATTGGTGTATTTGATATTTACCTATTAGCTTCAAAGTCACTGATTTTCTTCTTTTTTTTCTCTGTTTTGTTCCAACATTTCTGCTTTTATTATTGGTCTCCTCCAGCTCTACAATACCTTTCATTACGTAATGAGCTGGCTACCAGGAAGTCACAAAACTGTGATAAAAAATAACAAGGAGATGCGTCAGTTCCTTACAGGAACCTTCACAAAGTACAAGGATCAGCTGGATATTAATGACCAAAGAAATCTAATTGATGCCTTCCTTGTCAAGCAGAAAGAGGTTAACCATTTATGTTATGTGGTTGTTCTAGAGCAGTGGTTCTCAACCTGTGTAACCTCAGGACCCACATTTGTCCTTGGTCAATAAGTCGTGACCCAAAACGCACAGCATTGTGGTACCGCGCATTCCAGTGTGGGCGATTGAACTGTGGGCGGGAGGTGGTGATGAATGGCAACGCAATATACCTTCGGAACCAGAATGCGTAGTAGGTGTGATTGCGTGCTATAGTGCGTTAATGGCACAGTACTGTTCGATTATTACACTGTACTAGTATGAACGGGCCCTCAAAAACACTGACAGACACACACAACCACCATCTTACACACATATACATAATCCCAAAATAATTAATGGAAATTAGAAACTAGAAAAGTGGAAGGCACGCAGCGACCCACTAAAAATGGGTTGCAACCCACTTTTGGGTCACGACCCACCAGTTGAGAACCAAGGTTCTAAATGATATACAGTGCAATGTACCAGTGCATGTAGATCTGCAAACATCATGGAGTCAATGGGGAAGGCAAAATGAAGATGTTTTTTGTGTAATGGGTTTAGATAGCTTGAGGGTTACAGGAGGTACTTTCTGCTGTCCTGGTCCAGTTGTTGTGCTAAAAAATAGCTCCTCATTTGTCTTATTATTTTATGTTTTTTTCTCCTGCTGGGGATCCCTCAAGTGATAACTAGAGATCTATATAGAGGAATCAGGACCTCCTTCCTCCTGCTGGAGATCCCTCTAGTGATAACTAGAGATCTATATAGAGGAATCAGGACCTCCTTCCTCCTGCTGGAGATCCCTCTAGTGATAACTAGAGATCTATATAGAGGAATCAGGACCTCCTTCCTCCTGCTGGAGATCCCTCTAGTGATAACTAGAGATCTATATAGAGGAATCAGGACCTCCTTCCTCCTGCTGGAGATCCCTCTAGTGATAACTAGAGATCTATATAGAGGAATCAGGACCTCCTTCCTCCTGCTGGAGATCCCTCTAGTGATAACTAGAGATCTATATAGAGGAATCAGGACCTCCTTCCTCCTGCTGGAGATCCCTCTAGTGATAACTAGAGATCTATATAGAGGAATCAGGACCTCCTTCCTCCTGCTGGAGATCCCTCTAGTGATAACTAGAGATCTATATAGAGGAATCAGGACCTCCTTCCTCCTGCTGGGGATCCCTCTAGTGACCCCTCTAGTGATAACTAGAGATCTATATAGAGGCATCAGGACCTCTTTCCTCCTGCTGGAGATCCCTCTAGTAATAACTGTGATTCTAATGCTGAAACAATTATGTGGCGCAGTGACTATAAAGTAAAAAGCTGCCTCTTTGCCTCTGCTACCATGAAGGAACAGCTTCATTCTTTTTTTTTTTCCAGGAGAAGGCTGACTCTCCTACATACTTCCATAATGAAAATTTAACATCCCTCATTACCAACCTGTTTACTGCTGGAATGGAAACTACCTCAACGACTTTGAGATGGGGGCTTCTGCTAATGATGAAATATCCAGAGACTCAAAGTAAGAACACTGGTGATTTTTTTTCATAATGCTGTCAGTCCAACTTAATGTGATATCTCTTTTATAGGTGATATAGTCTGGTCGGTGAAGCCCCCTCTGGATTTTATAAAGATATAAAACATTAGTTGAATAACAGTTAAACAAATAAAATTAACCTAAAACATCACCTAGAGAAGGGACATGCATATCATGGCCAATTAGAGCACTAAAAAATTCCTTTACTGTAAACCATATAAGCAGTGCAAGTTCACCCAGCCATAGCTGGATATGTTTCTTTGCAATAAATACAATCCATCTACTAGCCATATAAACTAACCCAATGTTTTGCATATTGGATTCTTTTTTATCATCATGTGTTTATTCATAGAGATTTTTCAAGTCCACTGTCTATTATATGTTACCATGAGACTAGCAGTCAGAGGCAGCAGTACCTTAGATGATCTCACACCACAGATATACAGCTATGAGCAGGGCCGGATTTACTCTCTCTGCTGCCACAAGGCCAGTCCCCCCCCAATGGAGAATGGCAGACCTGCAAGGATCACCGAGATCACTTGTACAAAACAAGCGGCGGCTTCCCCTTTGTACATTTAGCTCTGCTTGCCCAAAGCAAGGCTAAAGGTAGAAAATAACTAACCGCCTGGTGCCTGGAACTGCATGTCCTGGGCATTGGGAGATAGGAATTCCACACCCCTGCTGCCCCTCTACTCCCCTCTGCCCCTCTACTCCCTGCTACCCCTCTACTCCCTGCTACCCCTCTACTCCCCGCTGCCCCTCTAATCCCCGCTGCCCCTCTACTCCCTGCTGCCCCAAGGACGGGCCTTGGTTGGCCTTGTGGGAAATCCGGCACTGGCTATGAGGCTATACTGTATGCAAAGGAGTGCCTAGGCACAGGAAGTGCATAGCTGTATATCTGATGGGTGGAAGCTGTATGTTTGTAGTGTGAGAAATTCCAAACAAAATGAAAATCTTCAGTATACATCTTAGGTACAAATAACATTCATTTTGTCAGTTCACTTTAAGACAAAATTTAATGTTTGAAACCGGCTGTTGAAGCTATCACAGACAGTAAGTAAAAGCCCATATGTGGGAAACAAAAAAAGTACCCTTGCAAGTAGGCAATGGTCAACTGCAGACATGCTTACTAGGGATGCACTGATATCGGTTTTTCGGTATCGAGTACGAGTACCAATACTTTGCTCTTGGTACTCACCAATACCGAGTACCGATACCGGTGCTTTCACTGGCATGGAGCTGACTTCCCGAGCAATCAGGAAGCCAGGAGGTGGGTCATTACTCGCTGCTCAGCTTCCTGATCACACAGGAAGCTGGCCCCATGTTCCCCTACGGCACTGCAGGTCAGAGGAAATCTTCCTCAGACCGGAAGTTCCGGTATCAGGGAAGGTATCGGAGCATTTGGGCGACTATGAGTATTCACCCAGATACTTGGTATCGGCACTGATACTAGTATCGGTATATTCCTAATACTTACCCTATTCCAATTTCCACCAGCTCACCCTGGGCAGCTAGGCTGGTCCAGGCAGCCTCTTTTTTCTTGGGCTCCACTGACATCATCATGTCTAATGCAAGTTCCGTAGACCTACAATGGACACGAGGATGACGAGGGATACTTCACCAATCCGGAGTGAAGGAGAAGAAGAGGTAAGCGCTGACTGGCGAGGCAGCAGGGTTCAGGTAAGATAATCTGCTTTAGTCCAGCCCTCAGACAAAAAAAAGAGCACCTAACCCTTGCAATGCGGGGGTAGTTCAACTGCATGGGTGTAATGATCCGTGCAAACTCTGCGGGAGGTATAGGATCACAACTGCGGAGGTAAGCGTGAATGGTTCAGTTGAAGGGTTCACTGTCACACTTTAGTGTAGTGAGTGAAGTCGGAACCCCTTACACATCATATACCATTCTGATTGCAGGAGGAATTAAATGGTAGAGGTGAATTCCCACAACCCTCAATTCTACAGCATTGGGGCCTGTTGGGAATTGTAGTTCTCTCCCCAAGTTTACTTCACTAGGGAGGTCAAAGAGACAGTAACTCTATTGCATATAGTATTTAAGACAGTCCAGAGGAGAGGGTAAGGCAGTTTTAGATAAGAGAGTTTAGTGTGCATTCACTACCCCTAACCTTGATGTCAGTAGGTGCATACAACTCGGCAATTGATTACAGCATGTGGTAATGGCTACTTGCTGTTAGGTGGGAAGTCCATTCACAGGATGGGAGGCTGTATCCAGGCTGCCAGAATCCAAGGGGTAGATGTGGAGGTCCAGGCTGAATCCAGGCTGCCAGAATGCAAGGGGTAGATGTGGAGGTCCAAGAGGGGTTAGCAGGATACCCAGAGAGCGGTACAGTTTAGGGTCCTAAGTAGCTTGCTCGACGTACTACTTTGCTAGAACGTCGAGCAAGTGAAAGCCTACGGTTTAAATAGGCAGAGCAGGTGATTGGGGGGGCGGAGTCGGAGACGAGACCCGACCCGAGCGTCTCCTAGCAACGGGACGCCGCTGGGCCGGGCTCGCCGCGTCATCACGCCGACTCAGCTGTTCGGCAGAAGGAGGAGTGGAGCGCGGAGGAACGCCCGCCCGTCGCCCGGCAACAGGACGCTGTTGACGGGACCGTCCCTGCCATGTTCTTGGGCTACGGAGCGGGGTCCGATCCTGACAATGGGTAACATATTTTTTTTTGCTCAGAGAAGGACTTTAAATCATATATTTATTGTTCAATCTGGCAAAAGACAAGCTTTAGTTACCTGTAAATAATAAATCAAGGCAACTGGACTTGTTGTATTTTTTTAAGATGTTTTGCTGGTCATCCGACTAGCTTTCTCAATTCAGAATTACAAGTAATCAGGTGTAGGTATTTTTAATTTTGGATTTGTTATTTAGATCAAAAATACAGAATTTTAGTGCCCTTGGCTACAAAGGAGGCAATCAACCATTACACATACTATTGTAGTTCTATTCCAAAGTACCTTATCGTCCATGAAACTATGCAAACCTGACCTGACATTATATACGATCATGATCTGACATTAAATACCATAACAAGTAGTCTTTTTTTTGGCTCCATTTGTTCTTTAACTGCACATTTTTGTTTTATTTCTATTGCTGACTGCAGGGAATGTCCAGGATGAAATAGATAAGGTCATTGGATCTGTTGTTCCTCAGACTGAGCACCGGAAGGAGATGCCATATACAGATGCCGTTATACATGAAATTCAGCGGTTTTCCAACATAATACCGACTAACATTCCTCACGCCACTACACAGGATGTTACTTTTAGAGGCCACTTTTTACCAAAAGTAAGCCGTGCAATATTTGTTCTGTATTGTCTTCCGTTCTTACAAAGTCTGATGCCTGAGTTAATTTTCAGCTTGAATGCCAACATAGGGATGTGTTCCCTAATATCCTTGCAGCATTTGTGTTTTGGTATTTTTGTAAAGCCACTTGAAGAATACTGTGCCCAGGTACAAACTGTAGTATATAATCTGCTATACATTGTTGAGAAGGCTCTTTTGCTCTATGCCGAGTGTGTGATACTGAGAGTTCTGTCTGTCTTGTCAACTGGGCAACCCCTGGTCATTGTTTAATCAGTGAGTTGGATCAATCTTTAACAAAACTGAAGGTCACTGTTCTGGAAAGGCCTTTTGGTTGCCCTTCCTCATTAAGGTAATGTCCTTTGTAAGACCTCCCCACCAGGGAGAGGTTTTGCTGGTAAAAGTTCCCCTGGTGTGCCAGTGGAACTGGCACATTAGTTCTACTGATGTGGAACTAAAACTGTCAGTAGAACTGAAACTGACATTTTTTCAATGCCCTTCACCCGTAGGGCATTAAAAAATGCCCTAGGGCTGATGCCTCTATAGCCCTGGCCTAGAGGGTGTGACACTCTTGCAGGCTGTCTGCCTAAAGGGACATGTGAAAGAAAACTGTGTGCCTGAAAATTGTTCTGTGCTAGAGTCAAAAAAGCTGGAAGGTAGTAGCAGGAGAACCTACTGTTTTCTGGATGCACTGCTCTTGTGGTAGCTGGTTGGTCCCAGATGCTGAGAACCACCCAGAAACTGCTAGCCAGAGAAGCCGGATCGTGTTGGGTAATCTCAAATGTCCCTTTTTAGAAAAATTTTAAACCAACTCACTATTTACTACCACCATAAAAATGGACAGACCTGCCATACAAAGCACATAATTCAGGGTACCCACACATGTAACACACACAGTATAAGCATTCTTCTTCTGGAAATTTGGTAAGATGTCACGTTCCTCCCTTCCACTCCTATTGTAATCCTATGGTGAAGGACTAGGACTATGACATGACCAGCAATCAGAGGCTGTCCACGGAAACCTTTCTCGAACCCTCATTACATGTGAAATGTGAATTTTAAAGTTTATCAGGCCTGTTAATAAATGTTTTAACAAACCTTTCACCCGAAATTCACACATTATTCTAATGCTATTCAATTAGAAAATGTGTGAACCCTGAACGAAAGTTGTGTGAATCATGTGTGGAAACAAATTTATAAATGGACCCCTATGTGTAGCCAAGGTTTTTCTTTTCAGTTGTGCATGAGTGGGAAAGGATTAGAACCTTTGTCAAGTTGTTAATGCTGTCCGAGGCACCTCTGTTTGTGCTAGTGACCATTGCCACCAGGACAGAAAGTGAGAAAAAATACTAGTTGAGTTGCTACTGGAAGAGCAGTAGAAGGAAACTCTTCCAAAGTGTACACTTGCTCCATAGACAACTGTCTAAGGGATTTTCCGTATTTTGAAGAGGTTTGCTCTTACTTTCTATTATGAATATAATATAGGAAGATAAGGTTAATCTCCCATTTAGACACAGTCAACCAAACAAAAAAAGTAAAAAATCTGAAACAAAAAAACGTTGGGTTTACATATGCTTTATGTTAGGTCCACTTTAAAACATAACATGGGCAATCCTCAGAAGGCATGGAGAGAGATCCCTGATAAGAAAATATTTTAGGTAATTAGTTCTTTAGAGAGTCTGTGGTATGTATTAGGGATGCACCGATACTTTTCAGATACCAGTGCCGATACTTGGCATTTTCATGAGAACTACCAGGGTTGCAGCGGTCGCAGCTGGGACCTGGCTCTGCC